TTGGGGTTTGCGTTGGTATAGGTGGTTAGCCACTCCTCTGTTTTGAGCGTCAGTCATGTCTCATATCAAGCTCACAAGGAACACAAACTCACCTAATGCAGCCTTGGATTTGTTCTGGAATTTCTCGTTGTTGCACATCTCGTCCACTTTTCGGGCCATGGCTTTGACATGCAGCACAATCAGTTCATCCAAGTCCGAGTAGTTGTATCTTCCACCTATCCTCAGGGTTCGTCCCAGAGAGAACTCGTTCTCTTTGTCTAATTCGAGCACATCGATATGTTGGAAGATGCCGTCGGCCACTTTCCAGGTCACCGCAAGATGGTCGTTGCCCTTTGACGACGGCCGGATCACAACGTCACCACGGTTTTGGCTACCCAGGTACTCTTCCGCTTGTTTCGAATTGAAAGGCCGGAAGAGAGGGTGCTTGATCACTCGGGTGACCCGGTTGCCCAAGTCCGTTTTCTCTTCGAGCAACTTCTTGTCCGCCACCTCTTCGCGCTCGTCCCATTCGTCGTAGTTCCGATCGTTGTGATTGTATCTCCTGAATGGTTTCTTTACTTGCTCGTCTCTTAAGCTCACTGTGACGATAAAGTCTTTGCGATTGATCGAGGTAATGTGAGCTTGAACAGTCTGGTGGATGTTGTACAGCTGCTTTGGTGACAAGGCAGCGTCTGCCCATTGGCGATCTTCAACCACCGCGTCCAAGCCGCATTCGAGTTTGCCCTCCATGTGATCATCGGTGACTCTCTTCAGCGTCATGGGGACATTCATGCCTCTCTGCAGGGACTCCCTCGTCTCGCCCGTGAGCATTGTGAACACCTCGGACTCACCAAGGTTGACCCGGAACGGATTTCTCAATTCTTCATAGGGATCGTTGAGCTCAGCGGTGATATTCTCCAGTGTGCTGCGCTTTTTGGAGTTGAGGTTTTGTTCCAACTGTGCGGCATATTCTTCGAGAACCAGATCATGAACACGCTCTTGCGCTTCTTCTCGTATCAAGCGGCGCACAATTGCCCCCGATCCTCCCTCCTGTCTCTCGGCCTCAATGTCTTCTTCATCGAGTTCGAGTGCATCAGCTGCCATCTTCCGAGCAATATCGTAGTCTTCGGGATGTATACGCGTGTTGTCGAGATATTCAGAGTCTGGATCTGACATCTCGAAGTCGATGTATAAGAAAGATGCCGCATTGGCCCAGACTTTGGGTCCCATGGCCTGGTGTTTATCGTTAAGACCCAGCAAATCCTCTCGAGCCCTGACAAAGCCATTGTTGAGGTTGATAACTTTGACCAGATGTGAAGCCTTTCGAGGTCCAAGACCAGCCACGTAGGGAAGCAGATTTGCCAACCCAGGATCAGTCACAGCCTCATTAATGTTCACGCCGGTCATGGTGACCGTATCCACAAGAGCAGTTTCCAGTTTCTTCAGTAATTTGTCTTGTGGCAGCAGGTTTTGGGCGGAGTGGAAGTTGATTGATACAATGTCTCGTCCTAGAGCCGCATATTCTTTGAGGGGTGATTGCATGTATCTCGCAAGTCCAACACAGTAGAGAGCCATTTCAGGAACTCCTGGGTTGTCAGCTTTCATGCGATCGCCAGACTTCGACATACGCGCCACCTCGTCGTTAACAAGAATGACATCCAAGAGGTCGCTTCGATCTTGATCATCGTCATCCGTGTATGTCGCGCCACGAAGGTCATGGTTGCTGACCAATGTGGCCAAGTTTGCTAGAAGTTTGCGGGTGTCGGGACACCATCCTGAGACAGCGATGACTTCAGGTTCCCTCCTTCGGATAACTTCCAAGAGCGCGTCGACGTCTTTGCCGTCGGGGATGCCGCGTTCTCGATTGCCGGGGCCTAGCTCCTTATACTGACCGTGCTCAAGAACTCTGCCCTCATCACTGACATAGGCCCAGTAAATAGGATCGCGTCCAACGGTGCCGCCACCATTGGTCATGGCCAAAACCCGCGGAATGGTACCTTTAGCCAAACCCCTCGGCTTCCATGGTGCCTGATCAAGTTTTGCATAGAATTCGTCGCGGCACTCATTTCCAATGGTCGCTTCGCATTGTTCCTTGAGATTTTCCTTAACCGATCGGGCCATCAATTTCATAATTTTGTCAACGGTGATTGACACTGCTTCTCGGCGTTCCTGGTTCCACGCATCTGCTACAGTAGAATAATTGTCTGTTTCGATGTGCTTGTTGAGTTCTTTCTTGAATGCATCCAGTCCTGGCAGTCGGACCCGAATCTCGATTAAGCCTTCTTCCTCGGCCTTCAGCATCTTGAGGAACAAGTCGGGTCGATCACTGAAGTAAAATAACTTCTGGTTTCGAAGGTATTTGAACTCGTAATAAGGATGTTGTTCGTCGATCTTGCGAAGGCCTTTTTCGGTACGATGGCAATCAATAACCCCTTGGGGAAAGATTTTCTCTCTGATGAGACGACGAATCCGTGGGTTCGTTGCCAACTGTTCAATAAACATGGCCTTGGCAGCCTTGAGCACTCGAGCGCCAGTAGGGAATTCATCGTCAACCATTGTATCAGCAAGATTCTCGGGGCTGTCAGAGGGATCCTCTGTGTACGTCCGAACGCCTTCCCTGGCGGCGTTTCGCGCAAACGCGTCCGCAGTGATACCAAAGGCGCGAACGAGACCAAATGCCTTCGAGGCACGAATTTCCTCATAAACACTTCTGGTCGATGCTTTCTTCTGAGACATGCTCACCCCATTGGTCTCGCCATTCGAGGTCAGCGCCAGATCTTTGAGCTGCGAAGCGTACTCAAAATATAGATAGTCCTGTAGATCCTGAAGATCCTCCATCGTAGCAGCCCGGGGTAAGAGTTGTTCGAAGGTGGTGTCTTCCGGTACACTGGTCGAATGTAGATCCGCGTAAGTCTTCTGTAGCGCTCTTTTCCTTTCAATAAGCGCTCGATACTTTAGATCGAGCTCCAATATGCGCCACAGATCTTTCTGGTTGAGAAGTTTGACGGTGTCGTCGATGACTTTCGGGCTTCCGTCTTCCTGCACACCGACCACCTTAGTCTGTGGGAACAGTAGGTAATCTTTTCGGTGCATGTAGATGAACGGCGGTTCAAAGTCCTGCCGAGTCATCAAGTCCAGATTGTCTGCGACAGCGCGTCTGAAAGGTTCGTGGTGGATCTCATCGTGCCCCTTCGAGGGTAGGATCAGATTGGCTATCCACAGTGCTTCTTCTTTGACCTCGTCTTCGGTCAGTTCAAGGTCGCGGTACGGTCTCCGGGCCAGCTGATGACGTTCGGGTATATCGGTGAATCGGATTTCATTGTCCTCGTCGGTGAGTAGTTTTTCCGCCAGCTGCGAAGGCTCAAAGACATCTCTCAGATGAAGGTTCTTGTCTTTTTCGGCTTCCTCTTCGTCAGCCTCTTCCTCCTTCTCTAGAGCAAAGTCGTAGTCTGTTCCATCACCAAAGGCCGCGCGAAAGTCTTCCAGGGCCTGCTCATCGAGCCCGGCTGCATCAGCGATACCCAGCTCCGCGATCCCACGACGATTATGTCTGGCCACTTCTTCATCTTCACGTTGCCGTTGTTGCTCTTCGTCTGAGAAGATATCCTCTTCGATGAAATCGTCAAACTCGTCCTGTAGCCCTCGTCGGTCCTGACGACTCCGCCGACTGTAGTCAACCGCCTCCTCTTCCTCGTCGGAATGACCGAAAATATCATTGACACCGTAATGCTGTTGCGCGTCACGGTCTTCCCGAGGGCCTCGCTTGAGTCTCTTGAACTTTGATTCGGTTGGTTCCTCAGTGGGCTTCATGCCGATGAGCTCCAAATCCTCTTCATCGAGATCTTCATCTTCGCGCTCTTCGCGGCGGCGCTTCTTTCGTTCTCGTCTTCGTTCGCGGCGGGCTTCTTCATCTTCTTCGTCCTCGTCAACAATGAAGTCTTTGGCAACCTGACATAAACATTAGATTTTGGGATTTCAGAGGGTGTTGGTAGAGAGAGATTTTACCTCGGCTGCAGCCTCTTCATCTTCGTCCTCTTCCTCTTCTTCAGAGGAATCATCAAAGTGTCCGTTCGCGCCAGTTGACTTTGGTCTCGCTTCACCCGTGTCTTCATCGAAGGATTCGTCCTCCTCTTCATCACCGAGAACTGCGCGATCATCGATGAGGTCCATGTTGGTGCGAGGGCGAAGCGCAAGCAGCAGACTCGGTAAATTGAGATGATTCGAGGAATATGACCGATCCGCAGGCAGCAACGTCGCGGTGAAAGCGACAGCAACGGATGCTCAAATGTCCTGCCAGCCTGCGAAATCCCCCAAGGGACAGACACAAACTTAACGCTCCGGCTAAATCACGGGCTCGGCAAAGCTGCCGCATCTCAACAGGATCACCGCGGGCCAAGGTACTAAGTACAAAGGATGGGTGGGTCAGTCGGTTTCGGCGATTGGCTGTGTCCTTCTCCTCACATGAATCGAATCAACCGTCTGCTTGCGGTTCTTTTAGAACATGGGGAACTTCTGACTTGAAGCGTGAGAATAGGCGCTTGCGCTTGACCTCCTATTGACACCTATTGGCGAACTACTGGCCTATGCCATGCACTATTGACAGATATCGCCTCTTCAGTTCACGACCGCGTGCTTTTCTCAACCGTACTGAAGCGCTTGAACCCCTATCTTCAGCGTGATTTCAGTTTCAGCAGCTGTCAACTGACAATCTCTTCATCCGCACGGCAGGTTCAAAGCAGGGTATTTTGATATATTTTCACAGCTTTTCACTGTCCAGCGTTGGTCGATCGACTAAAGGCTCAAAGAAAGCAGTCAGCTATTCATCCGTCTAAGCGCCTGATGGCCTTAGTTGGCATTGTCCTTGGGGTCTGACATAGCCGCCTCTCTTCTCTGTCCTGTCTGCATATCACACTTGCAGTCCCGCCGAAGCCTACTGTATATCCTCTTTCGACTTCCGCTCCTCCCTCACTAGCCTTGCTGCCGGACCGTTGTTACCGTCACCCAAGAAATATTCTCACACCATGTCGGACGCGTTCAAAGCCCGGACGCTGAAAAGGAAAAATGTCAAAGGGTTGGCGTTGAATGCACCGGCTCCTCGAACAGCACCCTCCGATGGCGATGCACAGATACCAGGGGCGCTTGGAAATTCCGAGAGTGACCGGACCGACACCTTGGAGATTGGCTTGGAATTCAAACTTGACCTCAGAAGTGAAGATCTGATCGTGCTGAAAGAGTTGGGTGCTGGCAATGGGGGTACTGTCAGTAAAGTCATGCATGCTTCGACCAAAGTGATCATGGCAAGAAAGGTATGTCCCGGCCCTTTGGCTGGAGGTTGACCTGATGCTGAGAGGGAACGCAGGTTATCCGAGTCGACGCAAAAGAAAATGTCCGTAAGCAAATTGTTCGAGAATTACAAGTTGGCGCCGACTGCAGCTCGCCGTACGTCATTACATACTACGGAGCTTTTCAGAATGAAGCCCGGGACATTGTGCTGTGTATGGAATATATGGATTGCGGGTGAGTCACTTGTGGTCTGGTGCTACCCTTCCTGCTGAACTGACGGCTTGCAGATCCTTGGATCGCATATCGAAAGACTTTGGACCCACACGTGTGGACGTACTAGGCAAAATTACAGAATCCATCCTGGGAGGTCTTGTATACCTTTACGAAGCCCACCGAATCATGCACCGAGACATCAAACCCTCAAATGTCCTGGTCAATTCTAGAGGAATGATCAAACTATGCGACTTTGGCGTGGCTACAGAGACTGTCAACTCGGTAGCCAACACGTTTGTTGGCACGTCAACGTACATGGCCCCTGAACGAATTCAGGGCGGAGCATACACCATCAAGTCCGACGTTTGGAGCGTGGGTTTGACAGTAATGGAACTGGCAATTGGAAGATTCCCGTTTGATTCGAGCGATTCTGCCGCGGGCGACAGAGCAAGTGCTGGACCAATGGGAATTCTTGATCTTTTGCAGACCATAGTACACGAGCCGGCACCCAAACTCCCAAAGAGTGAGGCCTTCCCGTCTATCCTGGAGGACTTTGTGGCCAAGTGTCTGCTCAAGAACCCTGACGAGAGACCAACCCCCCGGGAGCTCTATGACAGAGACAACTTCTTGCAGGCTGCGAAGAGAACGCCTGTGGATCTGCAGGAATGGGCCGTCTCGATGATGGAGCGACACAACCGAAAATCCTACTTGGCACCTCCTGCACCAAAATCGCTGAAAAGTGATGGGACAAGCTCAGACAGCTCTCATACAACCTCATCGGCGTCTACGGCCTCATTTGCTGGCGATCCCCGTGGCACCCCTGTGACGGCCAAGCAGTATGCGAGTCCAACCTCTGGCAACATCCCTGTCGCGCCACCACAGTTTAGCTTTCAAGGGACACCGACTGGCATTGTAGAGAGGTCGCCGCCGCCGCCGCTATCGTTACAGCATTTGTCGTTGGAGACTCGAGATGCGCCCAACGGAATTGGTCCTCGTGCTAACCGCCTGGGATACAACGACCGTGACAATATTCCCGAGCCTGCTTCGGCTATTGAGCCTTCTCAAAGACCGATGTTTCCCCCGAGGACGAGTAGTAGCGGCAATATTATCAATGGCAGAAATCCGTTGATGAGTCCACCGTTCTCTGTGCGACAGCCTCCTCCAACTGGGCCGTTACCAGCTCCTCCGATGAAGGACCTACCTGCGCCACCAGCCTTGAAGAGTGCAGGGATAGCTAGCCCTCGTCGACCAAGATAACATCGTTTGAAGAGCAGGTCAGAGTACCTGGCTTTGGAGCGGGCTGCATCAAACATATCGTGACAAAAGTGGAGCAGGGGTATGGGCATGGGCATAGGGTATGGGAATGAGTTATATAGCATTTGATCCTGGCGTTGTGACCGAGTACACTGTGAGCATTTTCGAGCTTGTAGATCTTGAACACGAGAACAATTTATGGGGATTACCATGTCTATTATGGCGTCCAGATCTTCGCCGTTTGTACCTGCGCCCCTTCCAGTGGCTTTGTCATGCCACCGTGCTTCCTTTCTCCAATAAGCGATCCCGCCAAAACCTGCTGCAAACTCATGCCCGATTCGGAAGAGGTGATGTCGGCCCGTGCAGCCATTTAACCAAGGGTTTCATCCCCTCGTCAACCCTTTGCTCCCTCCAAGCAAAAGTGTGTAGTATGAATTTCAGGTAACGCCCTGTTCTTTCAAGGGACTGTAATGAAATGTGTGCTCAAACAATACTGAACGCAGACCTGCACGTGACCACCGCCGTTTAGGTCAGTAGACCTGGGAGCAGCGTAAAAAACATGCGGTTTCGAGCTGATTTGATTTCTGAGTCTCATATCTGCTTTTCTACCTCGTACAGATAGCGAGATAGTGATGAGGGGGTTATAGATCCTCATCATACGCAAGGATCCGGGGCAGCAATTGACATGGCGCTTTTTGGGTCACGACTGGATGGGTGATGAACGTGTCGTACCTATACTAAGGTAGTTTGAGAAGGCATTACAGAAACAGTCGTTCTTTAATACTTTCGTCGAGTAGAGTGCATAACGTTCATCTTCCTCTTGCCCTCCAACTTTCAGCCAACGGCCAATCTAGGGCACCTGGGCACCTCCGATAGGCAGTAGCTTAGTCAGAAAGTGGCATTGGTGGCATCAACCTACTCCAGTGTCCGTGGCATCAAGTTACCTGTCACCCTGTCTGGCTGGATGCGCAAATGAGGCCAACGCCTAGCAGATTTGACCAGCAGACGATTCTCCTCTGTTCACCACCACTGCGACCGATCACAACAGGCACACGCCTCCACGTTGCTCCAGGTGATGGAAGCCACCTCGGCGAGGATGGCCTCGCGAAATCAGTTTGTCTTTGACGGCTTCGCCCCGCCTCGCTCGACCCTCCAGCGCTTCATATACAATGCCTGCGACCCTATCGCCAACCTCGAACCTAATCTCGCATTGAACCTCGAGATCGTCGACCTGGTAAACTCGAAGAAGGGAAATGCCCCGCGTGAAGCCGCATTCACCATTGTGCAGCTCATCAACCACCGGAACCCAAACGTGTCCCTCTTGGCCTTGTCGCTACTCGATATCTGTGTCAAAAACTGCGGTTATCCCTTCCACCTCCAAATCAGCACCAAAGAATTCCTCAACGAGCTCGTCCGACGATTCCCTGAACGACCCCCGCTACGGCCGACTCGTGTGCAGAGCAAGATCTTGGAAGCCATTGAAGAATGGCGCTCGACGATATGTCAAACATCCAGGTACAAGGAGGATTTGGGTTTTATCCGAGATATGCACAGGCTTCTGCTGTACAAGGGCTACATGTTCCCAGAGGTGCGGAGAGAGGATGCTGCTGTCCTGAATCCCAGCGATGTATGAGAATAGCCCCAGAAGAACAGTGGACCACTGCTAATAAAGTTGCAGAACCTCCAATCGGCTGAAGAGATGGAGGAGGAAGACCGAGCGGCGCAATCAGCCAAGCTACAAGAACTGATTCGGCGAGGACGGCCGCAAGATCTACAAGAGGCCAATAGACTCATGAAGGTCATGGCTGGCTATGACACGAGGCACAAGACCGACTATCGGGCAAAGGCCGCGGAGGAGGTTGCAAAGGTCCAGCAGAAAGCAAGGATATTAGAGGAGATGCTTCAAAGCCATCAACCGGGCGAGAAGTTTGGCGATGGTGATGTTTTCGAGGTATGGATTGTCGCATTGCAAGTGGTCAATAAGCTGACGAAGCCTAGGAGTTGGTCGGTGCGCTCCAGAGCGCTCATCCCAAGATACAGAGGATGTGCGAGGAAGAGTCTGACGATGCCGAGGCGGTCGCTAAGCTCTTCGAAATCAACGACAGCATCCATCGGACGATTGAGAGGTACAAGTTGATGAAAGCTGGAGACATCGAAGCAGCCAACAGGATCGAAAAGGGAACCCTGGGCACCACGACCGGGGTCAGCAAAAACGCAGCAAACGAATTGTCGTTGATCGACTTCGAGCCAGAACCTCCAGCAGCGCAAACGATACCAAGTCAATCGAACGGCTCCCTCCTCGATGCTGGTCCTGCTTCATCCACTGCACAGCCCAAACCAACGACGGTCGAAGATGACTTGCTAGGTCTGTCGCTGGACGACCCTGGAGCCGGCACACTGGGCGCGATCTCTCTAGGACCAAGCACGAATTTTTCAGCTCCTTCAGGGTCGATTTTCTCGACCACCTCTAATATTGCCCCAACCCAGCCGGCTTCCACGCAAACTGCACCTCAGACTTCACCGAAATCCAATTACGACGCTTTTGCATCACTCGTCAGCCCCATCCCTTCTTCCAAACCTGCGACTCCAGCTCCCATGGCACAGCCGCCACGACCTGCAAGTCAAGCATTGGCCGATCCGTTTGCGGCGCTGGTGTCATCCAACTCGCGGCCTTCAACGCCGTCAAGACAAGTCAACACCCCACAACCATCCACACAGCCAACTTCGGGCATGAATCGAAGTCCCGCTGCACCAGCCGAAGACGAATGGACTTTCGAGTCGTCGCTGCCTGAACCACAAACGGTTCAAGTGCTTTCCTCACCTCTCGGGATCGATTTTGAAGCGCGACGGACACCAGGGCAGAGTGCGATCCAGATAACGGCGCGTTTCTCCAACACGACGCCGCAAAAAATCACCGGGTTACATTTCCAAGTTGCCGTGGAGAAGAGCTACTCACTCCACCTAAAGCCACAAACCGGGCGCGAACTCGCTCCCAAGACGCACCACGCTGTCCAGCAGGAGATTCTGCTCAACGGGGTGCCAGAAGGGAAAGGCAACCAGGTCAAGATGCGTTTCAAAGTATCTTACGAACTGAACGGACAAGGACAAGAGCAACAGGGTAATGTTCCGCCGCTAGGGGTTAGTTAACGGCCACAGAGTATGACAAGCTGCCCTCAGATTAGATAGCACGTGGGCGCGTACGTACGTGCAGACACGGCGCAACATGGATACCTACATGACATTCCGTTGTGAGCCGCCGCTGCATTTGATATTCGGACAAAACACCGTGATACTGTTGAGTCGGTAGTGTTTTTGACCGTGGAAGCCACAGGAGCGGAACAAAGAAGCATGGCTGATATTACTTGTTGTTATGTAGCGCCATCCCGTGCGTGAGTTTTGGGGGGGTCTCCAAAGTTTCCAACTATTTGCTGTTCTTCCAAATAATGCAGGTTTGCTATCCCCACAAAAGAAAAGAAAAAGAAAGGCCAGGCCTGGCGAAGGTTTCCCGGCGTTTTCCTGAGAGGAGGAGGCGGAGGCCTTATGCCTTATCCATTTTCTTTCCCCCCGGAAAACAGGAATCGGCAGGTCATGGGAGAAACGCGGAGTTGTGGTGGTGGTGGCGGCGGTGGGTGGCTGTCACGGCTGACACGTAGCACGTAGCACGTCGTCGTCACGTAGTCACGCCGAGGGGCCTACACCCTCAATACGCGACTCCTGTATCAAGTACATTCCACATGGCGCCACCCATCCCAGTAGTCGAAGCGAAATCCAAAATACGAGATGCGAATAAGGCCCACGGGGCGAGAAAAGATAGATCTGGGTGGCGGTTTCGAGGTTCCGGGGGGGTTAAACAAAGTCGATCTGCGCAAGGGAAGAGAGATCCAGGTATCGCTCCGATCTTGCAGACAAGCACAGGAACCAAGAGAGATCCATCAAAGGGGGAGACAGTGACTAGCAGTGCCGTCTGTTTGGAGCTAACCAATGACCAACTTCTTGCGTCACGGGTGGATGGAATTGCGGCAATTGGTGGAGTCGCGGGATATACCTGAAGCTGGACTGGTGTTGCGAATTGGGTTGTGATGTCTGTCCCAATCGCCGATGCAAAAGACATTGCGGCACAATTCCCCCCTTTCAGCCTTTTACGGGGAAAGAAAAACCCATCTCTTGCTACCACGAAACTAGGTACCGTGGCTACCGGAAGTGTGCGATCCGACTAAGGTGGTCTGCGAAACTTGCCTGCCGTGTCTGCTGGTCGAAAGGACATCATGCAGCACATTAGTTCCAATTCTTGGTCCCAGTTAGCAGGATCAGACCAAAGAAACAAAGATTTCAGCCGAGGAAGTGCCACTCCAACGTGGCCTTAGGGGGACGGCTGGTGGTGGTGTCTCATACCTGCATTCCCACTGGTCTCGAAATTGTCCGTCTTCTGTCGGCAATCCAGTACGAGAGCAGGGAACAAATCCTGTGGTGGAGTCCACTTATCATGAGAGAGTACCGTGGGCGTCTAGACACAGGCACCTGCTGAAGATGACCAAAGATGAATCGCCCAAGCAGGGGTATTTTGATCCTCAACTTACCGCTAGCAGCTACGTACAGGATTTGTAACTCCTGGTCAACTGGGACCAACGCATCGTGCGGAAACAGTTTCCTGTGTGAGACGGTGTTGTCAGATCGAGAATGCCCTTTTCTATGATCGCAATCTCTTCTTTCCCTTCCGCAATTCAGGCTTGTGTAGGCCGCCGTTGGCACGGAGACGATAGCCGACAGCGCTAGGATCTGGCGCTACGACCGAGGTGAGGGGCTACTCGGTTCCCCATCGATTTCTGTTGATCCTTCGGGCAGATCGTAAAACTCTTGTTTGTGTCGGATGAGGCGAGTGAGGAGGAGGTGGAACAGGACCGAGGGAGGGTTGATTCTCGAGTATTGAAGCAGGTTAAGTGACGAACAATGAGATGGACCGAGAAGGAGAAAGCAGCCCATCCAACAAGAGACCAGACAAAGGGGATTGGGCGGTCTGAGCAAGTATTACCGTGTAGCAGCTGCTTCTTGGGCGATCGCCCAGCAGCAGGAGGCGATGGACGGATCCAACCTCCGCTGGCATTGCGATCGATGACTGGGGGCGCTGGGGGCTGCAGAGGGCGCAGCCTGGACCTCGTGCGGCCTCCCTCCCGCCAGCGGCCCAATGGTGCCCCGATCTGGGCTGCATTTTCACTCTGCGCTTGGCCTGCAGCTCAGCAACTCTATCGTGCTCCTACCTGCCGCTTTGGGTCTGGTCACTCTGACATCTACTGGCTTTTGCTGTCTTCATCCCAACAACCCAGGCATCTTGCCACGGCTTGCTTCGAGTTGCTGTCCTTGAATGCCCATTCTGCCTCTGGTACCTCATGCTTTGACTTTGTTCTCCCCGGCTAGTTGCTCCATGGACGACCAACTGCCGCCGCCGCAGTCCAATGGTAGCCTCAGCAGGCCTGCAGCCACAGATGCCGCTACTTGAGCCATGGCTTTCTCAACTCTTTGCTCTCTTTCCCCTCCCTCCTCTCCCTTCCAATGCTTGAGATTGGCTCCTCTGGCCCACAGCCTCCCTCTCCTCGCGATCTTCGGACTCGACCCTAGATAAAACTCCCTGGGGATCGCCTCTTCCCTCGCTCATCTCATGAACAATCGAGCCCACTTGGTCAACCCTCCGAGCGACATTGTGCCCTGGTCTGAACTTCGCTGACAGATACGAGCTGTCTCAGTGTGGTCACCCTTGTCCTCATACCAGGAAACTGTCATTTCTTGGTCCTAGCAACATTACTACTTGGTTCGCCACTTGCAGCTGCTCTTTTATGGTCAATCCCGCCCCCCAGGCAACCACTCCATAACGTTTCTTCATACCTTGTAGGCATACTGGCTACGATTGTGCATGCTTTGTTCGGAACTCAACTCAAGATACTTTCGTTGCTACAGTTGCTGTAGCTTGTCTATCCACCTGTGCAACGGAAGCCTTATAGCTCATCGATCATTGGAGTACCAATTACTCCCGCTCTAAGGCCACGTCCGTCGCACTGCAGCAAGCTACTCAGGACACCGTCTGGACGCCAGTCTCCGACGACCTGCCCAATATGCCGCCAATGCGAACAGTGTCGCGGGAGAAGCCTCCAAAGACACAGCGCACTCAAGAAGAGAACCAGGAGAGGTGAGCATTTCGGGCTGGTGCAGCTTGTCCAATATACTGACATTCATCAAGAGCATATATCGCTGCGTCGAGAAGGAGTGACCGAACTCTCGAGGCTCGCGTGGAATCGGCACGGAGGGCTTCAGAAGTTCATAAGAGAAGAACTGGACGGGCGCTCCGGATAACCGCCGAGGATGTCATGAACGAGGAGATGTATGAGGAAGAGGGGGATGACCTGCCATTACAATATCGACGCCTTACTGCACATTTGCAAACGAGCTCGGCCGATTTCAATCGCCGCTTCGCCGCTTATTTGACACACCAGGTGGCGGTCCGGAGTGCCATAGAGCAGATGGCTCGAGATCCTCATGGCCAGTATCCCAACAGCGGAGTCAATATGTTTCCATCACCCATGACTCCTCAACATAATATGGCACAGTCGCTGGGGGGATATCAGCGCCCTGCTCCGTACCCTTCGCCTCATCAAGCCCATTTTTCCCTGAATAGCGGCCGGATGGCAGACTCTTCAGCATCAGCAACCAAAGACCAAGAGTCAATATCGCCTTCCGCACCTGCGCCTGCTCCAGGCGCAATGGATCACAGTAACTTGTCGATTCATGGCTCGGCACACGTGTCAGACCAGTATTCTGGACAGCATGTCAAGGGTCCGGGACCAAGAGCAGATTTTGAGTTTTCGCCACAGCGTCAAAACCCCAGTGCCGCTACCTCTCCTCAAGGCCGCTCCAATTCATTCGCACCATTGTGGCAGGATATGGGGCCGTTCACCACTTCATTGCCTCCGGAGTCGCAGCAGATGTTCGCGCATGCACCTGGCTTTGACGTCAATGATCCTTTTTACGCCATGCTTATGCGTGGCTCGGACCAGTACGTCAGCAATTCATACTACCCTTGGAAAAATACGCACAGTTCTGTTAAAGATATATCTGCGAGCGACTCAGCCTACCAGGGAATGAATGCAACTCTGGCGCCCACGGCACTGGACAATTTTTCCGATGGCATACAGAAGCGCACCAATAGCACCATTTCGACGGCCACGACAGTGCTATCATCTGTCTCTGGAGAAGTCGCTGAAGTAAAGTCTCTCTCCAACTCAGGCTTGGACTTTGTTAAGCAGGAAGCCAGAGAACCCAGTTTCGTTGCTGGTAACGACGGCCTAGACTCGGGTCATGGTACCCCTCCCGGGGACGGATTTTGGGACCACTTTGTCCGAGACGGTAGCTGGGATGGTGGCGACAACGACGTACAAGCATTTTTTAGTGGGCACAACCTGGATAATACCGATGTGGATCTGAAGGTCAAACTTGAGGTACATGATTGACCCAGATTGAGCCACGGGGCAAAGAGGTCACAGCATCTTCTAGTCACCAAATGAGTCTGTGTGTCTTTGTAAGTTCTGCATGGTCCTGCTCAACACTCGTCTATAACCAGGAAATAAGAAATAAGGTCTGTCGGACTCTTCTCACGTCAATTCAAGTTGGAATTATGGCTGTGAGAGGTTGGAACCGGCTTCTTATCGAACGAGCGACGGCACTCCAGTATTGGTCTCGGTGCTCGTTATATACGCAAGACATATGGTACAGCTAATGATCAACATACCCAAGGAGCAATGGTGTCTTGTATGGAAAAGAGCTTTTCCCTCTTATTGGGTATCTATCATAAACAATCTCGGACAGCAAAATACTTACGTCCGTTAGGTTACTACTATGTATACATGTATAATACCCCCTCTGCTACGACTATTCAGCTAGCTCATCCCCGTAATATTACTACTTTACCCGATGATAGTTATAGTAGCCTATTTCGGCCCTAATAAAAGGTAGGATCAGAATTCAGCGAAAGCAGTCGAACGCTTCATCAGAGGACAGGGACGGGCAGGGCGCAGGACAACTTCTTATCCGAATCTTTAGCAATATCTTTTGTTCTCACGATTACTGTACATATATCAGCGGAAATAAGATTTCATTAGCTCTCTGCGTATCAATCTGTCCTGCGTCCTATGACTACCAATATACGGGGCCCTGGGGATAGTTCGTTAATAGAATGTGCCTTTCTGAATATTGTGAGGAAAGGGAGCCAATGTCTTCGAGTAACTATTCGTCATTTCTTTTGTCATTTCTTCTTGGGTATTCCTTCTCGACCAGGTCTTTGATGACATTAAACCTGTATCTGGTCAACGCCTCAGGCTTGTGTCTGAGAGACATAGTGAAGTACATACACCCACCACTGGCAGCCCCCATTTATGGTCATGGTATATTGGTGTCTTTTCTTCGCATGTAGGAGATCTTTCACCGCCCTCACAGTCATTTGGCCGTCTGAGTTAACGGCAGTGAAGTCGAAGTGCTTCGCAGCATTCTGACTCAGGAGATACCCAAACCAGTCGACGTGCAAGGTCCCGTTTTTGGGACCTTCAGGTCTCAGATCGAGGCGAACCGAACCGGAAAATCTTTGCTCTTTTGCATCCTGAGCGGTTGGGGCTACCAAAAGGGAGACAGTCCAGTGATTGTAGCTGATGTGCGCCCCCGGTTTGACGGGGCCTAGGTTGTGAACAACTACTCTGACGGTTCCGACAATCCAAGAGTCGTAAGAGGCGGGCTTGAACGCGGGAAGATCCATATTGAGAACCCAAAATGGCACTCTTACTCTTGAGGCAAGAGTCGTTGGCGCAGTTGAAGCTTTATGTCACGTGATTTCGTGTCTTGGCGCTCCTGCTGCAGAAACCTTTAAAGGCTTAACGCTTTTGCAACCTTTAGAAATCCCTGTCAAAACAACCACCTTTGTCGCGATGGACTTGGATCACTTCGCAGCAACAGACGAAGAGATAGTGGACTGGTGCTATACCTACTAACTGAGACCGGCGGCTTACGCTGCGCGTTTGCTGGGCCCACACTCGTCCAACGTCGTTCTTCGACTCAACAACCAAGCGGTAGTCAAATTTGGCTATTCGGTCACCCCATCCGAAGCAGCGAACCAAAGACTTGCTCATCAACGCTTGAATTGTTGGTGGCTGCGGATCCCTCGGGTATATCGATTCTTTCAAGACTCGGGTCCTTTTGAGAATGACTGGAGAGGGAAATGTGGATACCTCGTGATGGAATTGATCCAGGGAACCAAGCTGTCCGACGTCCCGCTGGACAAACTCCCAGAGCACTGTGATAAGGTGGCCCGCGCTATCAATGCAATGTCTTTTGTCAAGACGGACAGACCTGGCCCGGCAGATGGTGGTGAACCGCACGGCAATATTTGGGCTCCCGACTATCGAGCGTACGAAAGCTTCAAAACCTCCCTTGACTTGGAGGCATGGTTCAATCGAGCACTGGTCAAGGAAGGTGCCCAAATTCGCTTCCCACCCGAGTCGTTGGCCCTCCGTCACCTTGACTTATCCCGAGACAACATCCTCGTCGTCGAAGACGGATCATTGGCAATTCTAGACTGGGCGAGTGCGGGATTCTATCCATGGTCTATCCAGATCTGGAGCCTGAATGCAGAGATCCGGGACGGTCTCTTCACAAACGCCCTGCTGGCCAAATTGCCAGAGCTCAGTGCCGACGAGAAATCAAACGTGGAATTGTTGCAAAGGGCATACTTTTGGAATTCCCTCAATGGCCTGTAAGTTGACAGATATATGTCCAAGCTTTCTTTCATTCCAACCTCTTGTTTGGAATACATTTGATTTTTTTCTTTTTTCATCCTAGCTCCACGCAATCTCACAAGCTCGAGAACTCCTACATACCTTCCCCGCCTCCTTCTTTGCCTGACGATCCTATTGGGATCACCTCCTGATGCGTCGGAGGAGGGGGGGGGGGGAGGTCCTACTGTATCAACCGGGACCTTCACACGCGGATTTTCATGCTACAAACTCCAAAAGTATGAAAAATACCGACAACTCGCGAACAGACCCGGAAGGCGGATGCGGGTGCCCGTAAGTATTCTTGCCGTAGAGTCACGGCTTCCAAGTGCAACCCGTATGGGACTTTAGTGCCGCAAGGATAGCGACAGCTACGTGCAGGGACGGATTTTACTTTACTAAGTGGCGAGGCTTAGTTTTCTCAGTGGACCACGGTGGTTCGAACCGTGGATGGCGGCGTAATATCGAAGACCTTGATATAATCCGCTTATGTGTCTCGGGACCTACGTGAACTGCTAAACGCATACCGAGGACTTCCCAACACGACGTCGCAGATTGTCTATCGATAGCAAGTCCTGGCGCGGCACGTCGTGCAGGAATCGCCATTAAAATCCGGTATCATTATGTACAGGGTTGCAGCATCGAGGCAAGGCAAGACAAGCCCAGTCGAACGAGGGTGGCTGAAAGGTCAAAAGCCACACCTGGGGGGGCCGGGGTGTACTCGGTAGAAACAGCTCCCCAGGAGATATGTAGCGAGCGTTGACAAACCCATCTCGCTCTCGCTCTCGTGCTTTGCGCAAATGGCTTTCCCATTCAAGGTAGGTAGGTCACTTTCCACCCACTCGAATGTAACACGAAGACAGAAGGCCGAAGGAATCGATCCCACTCCGACTATTGGGTCATCTTCCATCTTCCATCTTCCACCTTCATTTAAAGCGTGCCGCCCATCATGACACCTGTAGCGTCACATCACATCGTATTAGTAAGTTCGTTAGCAAGTTAGGTAGTTACTGAGTTGAGATGAGGGGGGTAGGGTAGAGTAGAGTCGAATTAGCAATGTGCTTGTGTGCTTGCTCAGTCTTGCTTGATTGGGCCCCTAGACCCCAGACAGATAAGATCCTCGCAAAGGAGGAAACGCAAAAACCCCTTTGGGGATATATACGTACCGATGGTCGAGAAGATGGTCCATATCGTGGCAATCTGGCTGAGTTTCGGGGGGCAGTAGCTGGATCCAACGGCGTCAGTTCGGGAATTTGTCCGTATGTATGTACTCGGTGAAAACAAAGAAAGATGGATAGGATAGGAGAGCTCAACCCGAGATCCCTCCCGGACTCTCTTCGCTGGTGGGGAAGAAAGACTCACTCGTCTCCAGACGCTCGAACATATCCCACCCACCACACCCACTGGGCGGCCCAGCAGCCAAACATGCCGGCGATGGAGCGCAGCACAATCTTCTTCAACAGGGCACCGTTGCCCTTGCGGCGCTCCTCGTCCTCTTTACTCCGTTTCTTCTCCAGGCCCGCCCAGATCTTTGTGAGTCGCGCGTGCTCTGCTCCCACTTGGGCGCAGAACGTACACAGTTCGTTCCAGGCCTGGAGAATGCGTAGCTCGGATCTCTGCTTGGTTTCCTGGTTGCGGATCGAGGCCTCGAGGCTGGCTACAGAGTCTCGGTCTCCGCCTGTGTGCTGGTCACCACCGATCAGATTCTGCAACTGGGTTCCGAGGCTGACTCCGTGAACCAGCGCAGTATCGATCTGGCGAAGGTGGCTCAGCTCTTCTTGTTGTGTGGGCTTCCGGCTAGTGGGGTGTTTGTACAGCTGAAGTTGCAAATCGCTGATATGCTTCAACACGAATCTGTTCTCGGAGATGGCGTACCTGGGAGCCTGCTGACGCTGCTTTCTGTGTCCGTCAATCAGAAATTGCAAAGTCTGCACCTTTGCCTGCGTCTTCGCGAGTGTTGCTTTTAGAAATTTGATTTCCATGGAGGTCGAGTTGCTTTGATCCGTCGAGGCAGCTCTGTTCACGCGCACTACCGAGTTCCATTGAGCAAAGGCTCCTTTAAAGGTGCCGAGATCGACAAGTTGCTTGCTCGGAAGTTGAATCCAGATGGAATAGGCTCGAAAATATGCCTCTTCGGCATTGCCCGCGGGTGCTCTCTTTCTCTGCTGCCGGAGGGCTTTAGAAGCTGTGACCAACCTCTCCGTGTCACTAGTAACATATGTCTGTAAAGCCTGCCAGGCCCTCGCCAGTGCCTCGAAGGCCCTGATTGTCTCGGTGTAAGCATTCCCCAATGCCTGCTTCTCTCGTTCAAGATCGGCGCCAGTGGGTGACCAGGCATCAAGGTTCGTTCTTAAAGACCTGACCTTCGTCGCCTGAGCTTCCGCAAGGCTCCTGGATCTTGCAGCCTTCCTTTTGAAGCCCCTGATAGTAAAAGCCACGGCAGCAACATAGTTGCTCATGCCAAGCATGGACCAGAGACACGTTGCGACAGCGATGAACATGACACTGAGCCACATGATCGATCCTGCATACATGACTGCTGCGTCTTTGCCCCGCGGAGCTTGCTGAAGTCGTCCGACCTGGTAGAACTTTTGCACACGCGCATAGTTGGTGGCAACCCCCATATAGTATGCCCCTAACGCTTGCAATATGACTTCGGCCAAGAGAGTTGAGCTCGCAACCGAAAAATAGATGGCATCTTCTGCCTGCCAGGGGATGAGGGCGATAATCATCCATGTGATTCTCGGACGGGTACACCACAACAGAACAAGTTGCCCGACTTGAACAGCACTGTATCCTGGTGTAGATTTAATGATATATGCCCCGATAACATTACTTGTAATATGGAGCATCACGGTAGCCGGTCCGGTCAGAAGCCACATGCGCGAGCCACGGTGGCCACATCGACCCCGGGTCAACTTTTTCATGACATCGCGTCGCCCGAAGACAGGAACCAGCAAGGCCATGGCAGCATTTACGGCAGCGAACGCCACCAGACTGCTCACTGTCGACGGGCATTCTCGAGGCGGGGGGCCTCCTGTAGTGTCAAGTGCTTTGGTCGGTGTGATCTGGATGCGCCAGTTCCATGGCAGTAGTTCCTCGTCTTGAACACGAAGCAATGTGAGCCAGTTACGGGGCAATCCATTCCAATCGGCGACTGAGCTGCAGGTCGAATTCATCCACTTGAGGTACCCTTCCCGTTCCCAAGAAAGCTTGCAATTTCCTTTGCAGGTGGTCTCATAAGTGACTGTGCCATGTAAGCATCGCAATAAGACTCCTGCCCGAAATCAAATGGTGGCTAGTGCGAGCTTACCTGGGCGGCAGAAACAAGAAGCCTTGAATCCCACCGTCGTGGACGCGCAGTTACCTCCTGTAGGATCCAAATCACAAAGAAATGTGCTGCAGTCCTGTTCCGTCCTATTCAGGACGTCGAAGCAACCGTTTGCCTCGAGACACGAGGGCCAACTGAAGTCGCTTTGGTCCTGATAGCTGGTGTTCATCAACATCAAACCATCTTCCCATCCATTGGGCAGTCCGGGAAACTCATGGATATCCTGGCAGGTCTTGTTGAGCCAGAGGTTTAATTCTGTCCTTTCAATCGCCGTCGCATTGCACATGTTCTGGAGATCCATTCCTTTGCAAAAGCACCTCTTATCCACAGCACTGCCGATCTCAGTACAGTTGTTTCTCTCAACAATGCACACGTCAGAAGTGCACTGATCTATCGTGTTGTTCACTGTGATGGAGCAATGGTTGGGTCCCGGCGCTATAGGGGGTATAAAGGTGCTGCTTTTGACAGTGGTCGTATTGGATACAAGCAGAGTATCTCTCCAATCCTTTGGCCAGCCAAAGTCAGCTGTAGGACTGCATATTGTACTGGCCCAGAGAAGGAGACTGGTCCGTCCCACGGCAGAACAGATGTCATGGCTTAAAGTGTATGCATCTTTGCAGAAGCCTTTCCGTTCAATGTACACACTCGAGTCATCATTAGGGTCGTAACCCCCCCATGTGCCATAAATAGGTGAATAGCCTTTACCTGGATCTTCGGGAAAGAACATTGCAGCCTGTGAAGAATTATAGAGGTTAGGCTCCCAAATAGTCTCCTCGAAGTTGGCACACATTGAGTTTACTGTTTCAGGTCGCGCGTATTCGTCCCTGTATAGGCACTGCGTAAAACCCAAACAGGGGCTCGCTCTGTCACCGTAACCATATGAGGTGTAGCCAGGGTCCCACCAACCGATAAACAAAAATGAGGGTTTTAACAGCCTGTCTGTCCAGTTCTCGGGAAGGCCATGCCAGTCGTCCAGATCGCCGCAGGTAGCATTTAACCAATAGAGGTAACTCGCCTGATTTCTCGACCCGGAGCACTGATGAGAACAAGTGGAAGAGGAAAGATCTGAGCAGATGCAATCTTTGTTGATCAGAGTGTCTGTCTGCATGCAAGCACCAAAGAGGGTCATCGTGCACTTTTCTGCTGAACATGAAGTCATGTAGTCTGGATCGAAGGGGCATTGAGGACCGTGGCTTAGGCAGTCTGGCGGAGTTCGCAAGTCGGAAGGGAATACCCATGGCGGAGACTTGGGGATTGTATCCCGCTGGGATAGCTTTGATACTGGTTGCATTGCAGAGAGCCTGTTCTCAAATTGCCTAGGACGTTGGGGACCCGAATGAACTTGAGGGAATGCAGACGAGGCTGAGACCAAAAGGCACAGCCCTAGCAGAGTGAAGCCTACACCACTGAAAACCCCATGAGAAGCCTGATGAACACCCATGATATGCGAGCCTTAAAGATTCGATGATCGACTCCTCGCAGAGGGAAGCGCTGTTAAAAGCAACAAGGGAGGCAGCGTCAAAGGGGGTCTTTGGACGTCGTACTGACCTGGAGGAATAAGGGTGGGAATAGTTCGAAGCCATGGGCAATGTCTGCTTTCTATCTGCATGGCGGGGGCACAGGGTTGGCAGGAGAATGGTATTTACCGATAAGTCAGCTCCAGCCACCCTTTTGGGAGCTTCTAGCTCGATTAACAACGCCCGAGGCGCCCAAGGCAGTGTCAAAGGGCGAGATATCACATCCCCGGTCGACATCGGAGCATGCTCAAGCAAGTAGATGGTTCATTGGGCGCTGATAGGGTTTGTCGCCCGAGCGAAACTCGTAACCTCAATTAGTTCTCTAGAGAACACGACAGAGCACCTCCGTCCCTCTGATGCAAGACGGTCCAGTTGCATGTCCGGCTGAGACAGCTTGCTAAGGCGGTGGCGCTGGTGTAAGCCTCTGGACCCAAAGTTGACTTGGCAACTCAGCAAGGCGGACTGGGACTGGAGAGATGAAGGAGAAGGCCATGGCTGGCCAATTGTGTGTTCCTTTTGATCCCCGATTCTTTGAACTGACAGCCTGATTTCAATGGGTTTCCCTGCAGAAGCGAGGGACTCAGAGCTAGTCTCTTCGGATGTGGGCGCAAGCCGCAACGGGGAACGCCTCACAGTCCGGAGGAAGACAATTTGGTAAAAGGCGTGGAGGGAGAGGCTGCCAGGACTGCGTTATTCTTAGTGAGATGTTTGCAATTCGTTCATCGACTTTGTGGCTTGCGGATTGTCTTGAGGTTGGCTAGACCGACTGCGACTTGAGGACGTGCAAGGACGTGACAGCCTCGGCATATCAGTACACGTGACTAGCGGCAAGCTTGATCATCACGTGATCAAATTTCTAATGACGTCAAGGATGGTCATGATAGCCTTGGGTTGTCACAACGCAGCGGAGAGAACGTCTGGAAAGTGGAATGGACAGGGCGCAGATCTACCTATTTAATTAGCTATGGCACGTATGTGTCTCTCGATTCTATCAGTGGAGACGTTCTGGGGGCGGTTGTGACAGGCCCAGCGAGAGGTAAAACGATTCCATCTCATGTGCACGAACTGAGAGTTGCGGGCCTGCACAGATGGTGCATAGCTGGATGAAACTCAATCCTCACTCTGTGTGCGAATCTGGTCGTAAGCTGGGCACCGGGAAGGGGATGGTAAGTAGCCTTTAGGACAAAAGCCTGATTCAACCCGCTTCGCCGTGGGATGTCACCATGTTCTCTCCATCCAGAATTCCATCGTCTGTCATTACTCCAAGCAGTCTAAGTCGTCAATATCGTGTAGTCGGTAAGCTCGAGGTTCCTTTCCTGGCTTTCCGGGCTCAATAGGTCCAAATAATGTGCTTTTCTGTGACAATTCAAAATAGTCTTTCCAACAAGCCCTTCTCTCCGCCTCGAGTCATTTGGCGGAGCTGCCATTCCGTTCTTGTTCGAAGGCTCGATCCTTGAGCTGAGCTTCGGTGCTTAGTGCTTGTCTCCTCTCCGATCAACGATTCCCCGTCGTGCTGCTCTTTCGGCTCAACTCTCCGCTGGGTCGGAGCCCGCTTCCGCCATTACTACTGACACTTGGCCGCTGCCCCAGGTCAAAACTTCTCCTGACACTACTTGAGCTGCTTCTTCTCCGTCGCATTCTGATCTCATTTGGATCCGCGACGTCCGCGACGCCACCTGCACGAGCGAACAGGATCAGGATGTCGGTGAGGGATACCACGCCCACAAGGCGACCAGAGATGCGCGCTCCTGGAAGCGAAGACGCCGAGATTGAGGGTCCCGTAGGAGAGATGAATGGCGGTTTGGGAGAGCTATCAACGACGGCCCCCGCAGATGTTGAAAATGGGTCGGATGAGGGAGTGGGCACCGCAACCGGGGGCGTGATGTGGTGACTTCCTCCGCTGTTTAGTGAGAGGTTGGAGGAGTGACTTGACGTCGGAGCCAGTGTTGCACTATGCAGCAGTGGTGTCGGTGGACCAGAGGAGCTGGGAGAGATGGGTTCGGTTATCCACATTCTGTGGGACTTCGTTGCGACCAGCTTTGCAACTGTGTGCGCCAGTGTCGAAAGCGGAGTGACGTGGAAGACGGGGAAGGAGTCTTTCCCTTCATACATTCCGCGTGTGGAGAGAATGACGGTGATGAAATGGATACATGTGTTGCGGAGGAGTGGCAAAGACGTAGACTTGGTGAGGAGTTTGACGTCGACATTGGAGATGTTTCCAATTACGTTGAAGTTGTGGTCGACGACGGCGAGAGAAGAGACGCCCTCGTTGAGCAGAAGCGTCAAGGCCTCGAAAAGAGGGCGGTCACCACTGGATACAGGGTCAGAATTGCTCGACACAAAAGGGCATACGCTCGGGCTTACTTGATAGCAATCACATCCTTGGATCCTATTCTCAAATCGCGGAGATTTTGCAGGTATAGTTGATCCAACATAGGAAAACTCCGGCCATTTTCCCACAAGAATCTGACCAGACGGCTCTGGCTGAGCACGCCTGTTGCTTCTTTTGTAGTCTCGTCGATTACCACGACTCGATGCACCCCTCTCCCGAATGTCTCAATAGCCTTGAGTAGATCGGCGTTCTCGTCAAGGAACGTCAAAGGCTCTTTTTTGCTCAGGTCCTGGATCTCGCGCAAGTGTACGCGTTTACCTTCCCTCGCGCGCTGCGCCAGTTCCATGAAGTCTTCTGCATGTTCATTGTCATCGGGGTGCGAAAGCCCTATTACTAGCAATAGGTAGGCATTGAGGTCGCGGTGGTCAAACGTGCCGATGACAGGGGAGCCTGGTTTTTCGCGGATGAGCACCACTGGGGCACCTGACTGGATAAGTAGCTAGCATGATACCCTCTGTCAGTTCTCGGTCGGCTTGGAGGAAGGAATGAGCACACTCACATCTGTGGCCGACTCTATTGGGGTGTCATTGTCCACAAATCTCAGATCGTCCGGGTTGACGAGCTCTTTGACTTTGACCTCAGTCCAATTCCTCCCCGCAAAGCGAGGGTCTGGATTCCGCATGGGTGGGTTGTCAATCAGATCTTGGACGGCGAGATGGGATAGGGAGGGTTGTCTTTGCGATCGAGGAGAAGGAGGATGACCTCGTAGTTCGTTGAAACTCTGGCGGTGATGGGTGGCCGCGCTGGGCATAGACGGGATGCGTAAGGACGGTGTTCTGGCACCAGTTGAGGGTGATTGGGAGTGGGAGTCCATGCTGGATCGAGAAGATATAGTCGTTGAAGGAGGGGAGGTGACCGGCGGGTCCCGGTTAGGCGTCGACATAATCCTATCAGCCAAGGAGCAACTGTTCGTGTTTTGTTGGTCGCTTGGTATGGGAATTGAAGATGGAAATGCGGTGGAGGTGGGGGGGGGCAGTTCGCACCTCAATTGGTTGTGAGGGGGGAAAAGTTTGTTACAGACAAGTACTGAGAGTGGTGTGATTGTTCTTGTTATCTCTTTACAGCAGCAAACACAGTTCTAGATGCTCGATGCTGTTGAAGATTGATCGACTTTTCGTTATCAGATCCGCGCAGGATGAGATCATGTGAGGTGTGTAAGTGCATTGGCAACTCGCCGGTTCTCTGCTGATCCGTGTGTTGCGGATAGAGTATGTATGTATTCGTAATGAGGCTCACTATCTGACTTTCTGGGTATCTAGTAAGGCTGGGGTTAGGCGCCCGAACCCCAAAGGCATCGTAATTGCGTCAGTTGGACTAAACTGCCGACAAATCTCTCCTTGGACATTTACACACGGGTACGCTATTACCGGTGTGAACTCTATACGGAGCACGAGGTTTAACGTCCTCGTCCAGATCACATCTATGACGTGAACTCATTGAGCATTTCGGTAATGTTCTTCCCACCCGACTTCATCGCAGGCCTTTCTCGCGACCCTCGCTTTGGAGGAGGCGATGCGGCTCCTGGGGTTCCTGGGTCTTGGTTTCTGACCCTCTTCGTCGGCTCACGGTTGCTGCTGATGGAAGAAGATCCTCCCTTGGCCTTCCAACTCTGCGTCTTGATATTCTCCAGGAAAATCGTCCTTGTGGAAGGGAAGTCATCAACAATATGCGACCACTGTCGAGGATTGGCGATCCATACTTCCAGCAATGGCCGCCCGTCAGTAAGGCTGGGCCGACGCTTGTGTGCCAACTGGCTGTACAGCTCCAGACTGTCGTGGTAGCAGCCTGACACCGAGCCAAAAGCAAAGTCCTGGCTCCCAATGATTGGTCGCAGGCTTTTGGCACTCTTCTTTGCGTGCCTAGCTTCCCACCCTGCGGTTTGCGCGGTTGGTTCCCACAATCCTCGGTTTTTCTGGTGCATTTTCGGGCAGTCGGTGATGATGATCTGGCATAAAGAGGGGAAGAACTCTGTGTATTTGAAGATCCAGTCCGATAGATGTTCCTGCCAGCCAAACAATATCACCCGCAGGTGCTGAAAAGCCTCTCCCGACCGTGCAAGATCTGCCCAAGAACGCAGGAGACGTTCATCAAATTTGGAAAGATTGTTGTCAATCGTGACCTGACCATCTGAAAGATCGAGCACGGCGAGATTTAGTATCGTGTGTACCGAGACAAGGCTGCTTATTGCCATCTGCTTTGGGGAGATTCGCAGGCAAACAAGCCACTCTATTTCTTCGGACGTGATTCCGTTGAAGTACTCAGTAATTGGTACTGATAGCTGCTTAATGTCCAGGAGATATCGGTATTCGCGCCTCCCAAACTCTTCTGGATTGGGATATGCCGCTGCCAGGGTTCTCCAGGCATGAAAACTCTCCGCCCGCCTATCTCTAGATATCAGCATCTGTGCAGACGGGGTTTTTCTGAAAAATACTACATTGAGAGCAGCTGTTCCCAGACCTTCTGTGCTATTGCCCACGGTACGGTCGCAAAGTGTTCTGGTGTTAGATTCCTGAACTGACTAGCAACTTTGGTCCTCGCCATAGCCCCTAAGGAACGGGCTCCTATTGAATTTGGGGGCGGCTTCTTGACCAAATTAGGTGTCTTGGGTTCACCTATCCAGTCCACATATTTGCTTCGATTTGGACGTACTTCTATTTCAGAGTACACTTGTCCCGATTCCGTGTCGAACTTTCGTACGGTTGGTGGTTCTGGACGAGGCGCAGAACTGTATGAACCCAACAGTGCAGGCTTCCTATTTGCTGGTCCCCCCGTATATTTCATGTTGCGCTTTGAGATCTTTTATATCCTCATCAAGTCATTTGGCACAGTCACATCCAATGACGATGCCACGAGAGATAGTCGTACGCTTGCCGGGGATCTCAGCTGACCAGGATAGACCTTAGTAGCTTGGTCATCGTAATAAGAGACTCTTTGGCCATTGTGCTATTTCTCGAACTTGTAGATCTGATGTAAAACGGGTGGTATTCGATAAATGAGACGGTTGACTCGATGAAAGATGGACATTGAGCGAGTCGAAATTTATGTCTCCGACACCAAGAGTGGCGCTGTGCACGTGAGTTCGCGTTGAGGCTGTGCCAATGACATCATCGGGACGCGACCTTGAGGTGAAGGTCCTTCAGCCAGCATCTACCTACTTTACAAGGACCAAGTGTACGAAGCGAAATATGTCTACCGTGATCCTTACTCTGCTCCCTTGCATACCTTACACATGTTGTCAGCTGGAGTGTACCGTGTGTTTCCGTCGTCCCCTCCCCGACGGATGAGACCGATGAATGACTCCGCGAGACTTGTTGGTAGCCGCCAGAAGAAACCAAGGGAGCTCAAAGGCATCATACCTACCTCGTACGCTGAGTCCCTTAGGTAGCGTCTGAGACCTCCAGAAATGCCTCCAACGACGATTCACTCTCGACGATCTGCCGTGAGCCAGGCCCGGAAGATGTGATCTGCTGGACACCGGAAGCAGATCCACTAGAGCAACGGGGAAACTGCTATCACAAGTTGATTTAAGAGGCGGACCTACATTAGCTATTCCAGAAAACGTCTTGCTTTCCGACTGATCCTTGCGGAGGAAGAATCAGCGAAGCCTCGGAACCGCCTTCATCATCTCTTGGGCCAGTCTCGCTTGCCAATGCCTTCTCCGCACTCGAACTTGTTTGTTTTACGGGGGATTTGCGAGCCCTATTCCGTCACAGGTCTAAGATTTTCAGGCGAAAACCAATCACAATGCCGTGAACCTCGAATAACCCGCCCGTTCCTGATCCTGGGCCATCTGGAGCTGGGGCTGGTTCCGAAACCCCGCAAACGGGCTTCATCGGAGGGGAACCGACGGACAATCTGACAAACCGGCTTTTGCAAATCTATTGACGTCTTCCTACTTTGGTATGTTGGAGACATTGAACCTATTCTTCATTGGCTTCCGCCCTGACGGTGGCTTCAACTGAATTGTGTGACATCTTAAGCGGTGAGCACAACATGTCATATCGTGCGGGGTTGGACAAAATTCCAAAGGTAGGAAGAGCGACGACAAAGCTCAAATATCCGTGATGAGACGCTCAAGTATCCCGGAAACTCGCCAGCAGTAAGGTTGACTCTTCCAAAATGCTCCTCAAAATCCTCTTCGCTGGCTTGGCTGCCTTGGTCCCCTCGATCTCTGCTCAGGCAAATTCCAGTCAGATACTAGTGGTTGATCAGAAGAGTTTCAATGTTTTGAAGCCTGTTCCTCCTCCGTCACAATCAAACCTTACCACGGTGAGAGGCCAAGACACTATGGAATGCTGTGTGCCTATTTCCATGACCTTGCTGATTCCAAGGTGTAGATTTTTGTCCCTCCCGGTGTCACTCTGGAACAAGCCCTCGCGAAACCCTTCCATGTCTACGATGAAGCCTTCCTAGATATCATCGGGACGAACCCGACCTTGACACTGATTGCCAGTACTGGTAGTGATCCACTTTTCCATGAGGCAGTTGTTTGGTACGTTTCGAAAGCTTGATATGCTACCTAGAGATCTACAAACCTGTCGCAGGACTAAGTATGCGCCCTAGGTACCCTCCTACTGATGAGATCTTGTAAGTTTTGCTCATTGCTGTACCGTTATATCGTTCCTATCAGCCGCCATACTGGTAGAAAACTAAGCAGGATTCATAGCTTCGTCCAGAACGCCGGAGCGACTGCCGCCGGAACTGGTCTCAATAAGTCAAACATCATCCAAAAGATCGCCTTGAGTCAAGCTGCAGCAGTTTCGTCCTTACGCAATGCGAGCGGCCAAGTGGATGTTGTGACCGTCAATGCTACTCCTCCGGTGGTGAACTCGAACGGTTGAAACCATTGATACTCCCTATCCCTTCATGCCGGAGACTGATGTATATTGGCCAGGTGCAACTCAATATCGAGGTCAGCTCCTCTTTACCGGTGAAGGACAGGGCAACAACACCGCTCCCGCGTTATACGTTTTGAATCCACGCTCTCCATACAACACGACAGGTCGGTTCAGGTTTTCCATATTTCCACACTTCTGCAAAAGTACCCAGCAATATTTGCTAACGTCTGCCATAGTTCTCGTAAACAACTACTTTGGCCGCCAATGGAATTCTCTGAATGATGTAGCGGTCAATCCTATGAATGGTGATGTGTATTTCACGGACACCCTATACGGCTATCTACAAGACTTCCGCCCTTCACCAGAACTGCCGAATCAAGTGTATCGCCTCACACCGTCCACAGGAGCTGTATCAGTGGTGGCCGATGGGTTCGATCTGCCAAATGGTACGTTGCGAGTGCCTCAAACCGCTGCCTTGGAAGGCGACAGGGAATGAAGACTGATCAGCGACAACAAGGCATCACCTTCTCCCCTAATGGGTCATTAGCATATGTGACCGACACAGGTGCCCAGTATTCCTTCTTTGGGTATAACATGACAGCACCAGCCTCGATGTAAGTGGCTCTGCGACATGCGAGATTGGGGAGATGCTGTCGTGGTTCCCACCGTCACTCGTGTTCGTACCGCGTGTCCAATCTGACATTTGTGAACAGCTATCAGTTCACTGTCCTCCCCGACGGAACATTTGCGAACCGGAAACTTTTCACCTATTCGAGCGTCGGCATCCCAGACGGGATACACTGTGACACCAACGGCAACGTGTACTCGGGTGTTGGCGACGGTGTGCACGTGTGGGACCCTTCAGGCAAACTGCTCGGCAAGATCTTCTTGGGCACGACATCAGCCAACTTCAATTTTGCAGGCAAGGGTCGTATGGTCATTTGCGCCGAGACGCAGCTTTATTATGCGACGCTGGCGGCCGAGGGGGCGGTAGTGTCGAGCCAGCTGCCACCACCTTGAAGTGGTTGGGGAAGAGTTTCAATGCATATCAGAAAGAGCCATATGAGTTTGAGATCTCACGATCAACCAGAAGACCCCAAGGGGCCGGAGGTGCCCTCCCCTATTGTCGTTTTTGGAGAATCTTGGACAGAGTTATCACCCTGACACAACGTCCAGGCGCTACGATCCAATGAAAAGAAAAAGGTCCCGCACCGCGACGACAACAACGTTGCTGCCGTGCCAGATCTTGTCAAATTGTGCGTTATATTTTTCAAACCCATGAGATGCGCCTGGTCTGGGAGCCAACCACGGTTTGGGGTTGTAGGAAGAAGTAGCCCGTTATATCGATCGGACAAAAGGCCGACTCGATCTTGATCCTGATCCTGATCTTTACTAAACCATCCATCCATCTGTCTCTCTCTCTCCCACTTTCACAGAGCCACTGAAAGAACAGGTAGGGGTCTCATGTCATGTGTTGAGGCTGGTCTCGGGAACCCATGACAGAAAAGCAGTGTAAAAAAGAAAGAAAGAAAGGTCTGCCAGTTGCGGTCTGAACTGTCGCGACTCGTCCCTGATTACACCCGCAGCCTTCATCTGTTGTGTGATGATTGGTTCTAGATTGTCCCAGCGAGAGCGAGCTGCTGTCAAACAAAACGCCGACGCCGACGCCCGACGGGACAAGCAATAAAAAGAGACTCGAAAGGGAGAGAAAAGGACAAACCCCAAGACGCAAAAGCAACAGGCCCCGAGTCAGAAAGGGAGGCTCGTCAGTGCAGCCGCAATCGTTCTTGCGTGCATTCCATCGATCAATCAATCCCCCCATTTATGGTCCGTCTGAGTCGTGGGCCAGTCGTGCGGATATGCCCTTTTCGCTTCCAGATCTCTGTACTTCCGGTCCATCTCCTCCCTCCGGCCCAGGGAGACGCGGTCGCCGTAGACAATGCCGTTCAAGTGGTCGACCTCGTGCTGTAGAACGTGGCTGAACAGGCCTGTGGCGTGGATCCTGACGGCGTCGCCGCGCTGGTCGACTCCGTTGATTGTGATGGCGCCGAGGCGTGATACTGAAGCCGAGATGCCAGGGTAGGAGAGGCAGCCCTCGGTCATGGACAGGGTCCGCGGCGGCGCGTTTGCTTGGTGATATGCATAGGTATGGGACGTAGCGGGACCGACTCGGCCTGCATCGTGGTTTTGTTCGCTGTCGATGACGCCGTCGTCGTCCCCAGCGGGCTTCTGAGATGAAGGCTCGATGACGGGGTTACACACGGCGCCCCAGCGTCGCGCGCCCCACGCGTCCTCCATATCGTACACAAATACCCTCAAATCCACGCCGATCTGGTTCGCGGCCAACCCTGTTCCACCGGCGGCGTACATGGTGGCGAACATGTCGGCGACGAGCGTGTCGAGCTCTTTAGTGTTGAAGGCTGTCACGGGCCGCAGTTCGCGGTGTAAGATGGGCGTACCCCAGCGCAGGATGGGCAGGATCCGGCCACCATCACCACCACTGTCACCATCTTGACGAGGATCGGGCTGAGAAGACATTTGATTTCGTCCACCCACCCGGGGTTGGTTTCCTCCTCGCCACGAAATTTTTAGCCTGGGGGCCTCTGTGTTGGAGGATTGATTGGTCGGTAGGAAAAAGCCACGAGATTCAGCGCATCCCAAAAACCGGCCCTATCTGTCCTTATTGTTTTTCCTTGGTCCTGGGATCCCCCTCTCTCCCACACGAGATAGAAACTTGTCAAAACTACCCTAGCGCGCGGGCGCGGAAATATTTGCCAATAACCGTGGCCTGCTTGTCAGATGCGTGGCGCCTAAACTCACTTTGAGAGACACACGCGAGCGACCTGGACGGAAGAAAGAGGCTGCTTGTTCCTTCCGAAGAGATTGTGGGTTTTTTCTAGTCGCTCGCGAAGTTGGGTATACGAGATTCCTCGTTTAATCGACTCCGCACGCCCAAGGGAAGAAAGATACGAGGAGAAGGTCATTTAGCGTTGCATGGCGCGGGTCGACCAAAGGTCGAGACGAGTGAAAACCTGCTCGGCGCTCACGTGCCACAGGACCCTGAGATTAGACGGTGCCAAGGCCACATGTGCACTAAGAAATCTTAGACTAGTCATTACCGGCGTAGTCGTGTTATTAACTGCGAGTTCGAGTGAAGACTCGATACCTACCTACCTAGGTAAGTATTATGTCGTACTCAGAATAGACCTACCAAGTAATGCGATGGGATACATTCATATTGCTCCAACAAGAACTGGCCACAGTTTCTTGTGAATAGATGATAATGCATGAGATAACAATCTCACTACCTGGACCAAAGATTTCGAGCTACCTGTGCTTCTCAGTCGGACTGTGGTCAAGGACTGGTAGAGCAGTGACACCATTGAAGGCAGATGAACAACATATTAAGGTGATATCTGCTCGATCTTACAACATGCACTTTGGGTATTCTAGTTTGGACCGTTGTGATCACTCAGCGTGGGCACCAAGACTGGGGAAACCCGGGGAGAGGGAAAGGCCGAGACTTTTGCGGCAAAAGGCTGAGGATGCCGGGGCCGGACGAGGCTGAAGCTGCTGGAGCCAATCGAGGCCAGGCGAGTCAGCGCTCGATTCAACACGCAGACTAACAAGAGTCAACTTCTTCCGTCATGCCAGGAGACAACGCGGGCATTACACTCGTACTACTTCACACACCTCTGTCTGGCTTCGGGAACGATGCGTGCCATTGGAATTCTTCATTCTATGGGCGCTGATTCAGCGTCAAGCACCAAAACCGTCCTTCACTCTGGAATGAAGTTCCGAGCGCAGAGATCGCAATGCTGCGATTCCCTTCCCAGGCGTCCGCGTTCACATCCCTTGTACCGATGACTGAATTTGTCTCTTCCAGATATATCAAAGTGCCTGGCCTCCAGGACTCGCCTCCAATGTCCCTTGGACGGGGACTTTCACAGGAACCGATCCTAGAGCTGATTTTTGTAATTGAGACCGCGCAGCATGGTGGAACGCAAAAGAGCAATCCGGATCGGAAACAGGTATGTCACATCTCACACTCTCTCAATATGCCTCGGCCGTATTGACATTCTGAGTGCTTCAGTTCCGGCGCAGCTGGCGATGGTCCGGATCAGGTGTACCGTCTGGCCACCGAGGGGCCTATCGACGCCATCTTCTCCGACTATCTGGCCGAGGTCAACATTGCATGGCGAGCCCTGGAGCTGGTGGAAAAACCTGAACTGGGCTACGAGACGGCGTTCCTCACCCATCTCAACCACAAAAACGCCGCGGAAGAGGTGTTCAAACGGGGCATCAAGCTCGTTCACGATGGCGGGGCACTGAATCCCCGAGGTCTGTACGAGGCGACCAAGAAGCTTTTTGCGGACAAGGGACTCGGCCAGGTCAAGATTGCGTGGGTCGAGGGCGACAACGTGACGGGCGAGGTACTTGAGCAGAAACAGAGCTTTGCCCATCTCGACATCCACGGCGTCGAGACGTCGCTCATCAAGAACAAAATCCTGTCTGCAAACGCCTACATAGGCATGCGGGGCATCATTGCCGCCCTGGACGCCGGCGCTCAGATCGTCATCTGCGGACGCATTTGCGATGCATCGCCAGTCATGGCACTCGCTGCATGGTAGGTTTCCCCCGACCGTGCCAGTATCAGGTCACTGGCCATGACAGAGACACCTTTGGGTTAACCCTGGAATTATCAGGTGGCACGGCTGGTCAGATACAGACTACGACAAATTGGCAGGGAGCTTGATTGCAGGCCATGTCACCGAGTGCGGGCCCTACACCACAGGGGGCAACTTTTGTGGCTTCAAGGCAATCCCCAAGCTGTACGAGGTTGGATACCCGATTGCAGAGGTCGAGGCCGACGGGTCCGCTGTCATCACCATGCACGAGAACTCCAACGGGGCCGTCACCGTCGACACGGTCACGGCGCAGCTGGTCTACGAGATCCAAGGACCGACCTACCTCAATCCCGATGTGGCTGCTCTGCTCGAGGACGTCCGCATCGAACGTGCTGGGAAAAACCGGGTCCGGGTCTCCGGCGTCAAAGGCATTCCGCCCCCGCCGACGACGAAACTCGCCATCTGCACATTTGGGGGCTACCAAGCCGAGGTGTCGACCTACGCCGTGGGCCTGGATGTGAGAGAGAAGGCGGAGCTGCAGAGGATGCAAGTCCTGCGGCGTCTGGACCAGTCGAAGTTCTTGAAGATCGCCATCGACACGTACGGCTCCGTACCCGAGGATCCGCGATCCCAGAAGGACGCGAGTGTTCAGATCAGGCACTTTGTCCAGGCCTCGACCAAAGAAGCCATTGGGGAATTCTCGCAGGCTTTCTTGTTCACGTCCATGCAGGGCTATGGTGGATTTCACCTGTAAGTTGATCTCCATCCACGTTCCTTGAAGATCTTCTGCAGCAGAATATCCTTGCTTGTTTGGAACTACCAGCCTTCACACGTTTAAGCTGAACGACTGACTGAATGACCATGTCTGACACAGAAACATGGACATCCGAACCCTCGCCCCGAAACCCTTTGTGACGTACTTTCCCGGAAAATATCCCCAGGAGTCGCTCAAAGTCCGAGCCCACGTCGAATTTTCCGACGACGCCGACCACAAAGCCCTCCCAGTCACCCCGCCGCCCATGTTCCAAGACTTCGAGGGCCAACGCTCCTACGACTCCACCGACCCGGTGGCCCTGTCGACCTTCGGCCCAACCACCCGCGCCCCGCTGGGCAAAGTGGTTCTCGCCCGGTCCGGCGACAAGGGCGGAAACGCCAACGTGGGATTATGGGTGCGCCACGACGACGAGTGGCCCTGGTTGCGGTCGTTCCTCACCATCGCGCGGCTCAAGGACCTCCTCGCCGACGACTACCGGCCCGAGTACCGCGTCGATCGGTTCGAGCTGCCCAACCTCCGCGCCGTGCACTTTGTCGTCTACGGCATCCTGGAGGACGGCGTCAGCTCGTGCAGCCTGATCGACGGGTTCGCAAAGAGCTTTGGCGAGTTCATCAGGGCCCGTCAGGTGGATATCCCGCAGGGGTTTTATGCTCGGCCGCACGTAGGCGAGGAACCGCTGGATGGATATCAGAACGGTGTTTGATCTGCTCTTTGGGGTATATGACAGACACCCACTCTCACTACCGGATGGGAATTCGCCGGATATATGGTATGGCTCTTGTACGTATGGCAGCTCAAGGGAAAAGCCCTTGGTGGTGGATTGACCCCTTACGTAGCAGTTGCCTCAAACAAGAAGAATGGACCCTTGGTTTGTCTCCCTGTCTATTAACATTTTGGAAAACCTGGCACTGGCACTGGCCTTTGAGATATAGATATCCCACCACGTTCACTCACTCGCCCGACCCCGACAACTCTTACTGCCATGAGTTCCTATACATCTACACCAGTCTCATGAGGTAGGACCATACCATATCGTGTAGTCACAAGCCACTGTTAAGATAATGGTATGTAAACACACTCTCTCCATCACCGTCTCTTTCAGGCGTTGCGTATGTGCGTTAGAAAAAGTCCACCACCATACGCCCAGCTTCCACCTTCCCGGCCTTCATGAGGTCGATCATCTCATTCAAGTCCTCCAGCTTGAACCGTCTCTCGTTGACCAGCGGCGCAATGTGCTTTCGCAGCGTGAAGTCAAGGCATTTCCTGGACGAGGCCTGGCCGGGGACGTGGGATCCGATCAAGCTTTTCTTTTGGTCAGTTACGAAACGAAAAGTATACGCACGCGTACTATCTTTTGTGACGGAAAAAGAGCTTTCTGTGTCTGTCTTCCGGAGAGCGCTTTCTTACCTGAGTGACCGCGCCGTAATGAGTTGGGCGCTGATGGGTATCTCGGAGTGTGGTAGGCCGACCGCTATCACTCGTCCGTAGGATCGGACAATGGCGAGCGCGGTGTTGTAGGCGGGCACGACGCCTGAAGTGACGATGGCCACGTCCACCAGCTCGCCGTTGTTGGCGTCCAGGACTCGTTGGCTCAGAGCTTCAGGCGCGAGTCCGCTCGTGTTGATGACGCTCTGTGCCCCATTATCGCCCTTGACCGACTCGAGCTGTTCGTCTCTGACATCGAGGGCGATGACTCTGGCTCCCAGCGCGGCAGCATATTGCACCGCCAGCTGGCCCAGGCCGCCGGCGCCGACTACAGCGACCGTTTCTCCCATTCGCAGGTGCGCCTGCTCCAGAGCATCCCAGACCGTGATGCCCGCACAAAAAAGAGGTGCAAGCCGTCGCGGAGACAAAGGGAGCTGGCTTGGGCTCGAGCTCGAGCTCGAGCTCGCACCTCGAGAGATCACCACGGCCGACGCGGCGTCCACGCAGGTATACTCGGAGAAGTATCCCGGACAATTCATCCCCTTGACCTGCATCTTGGGACAGAACTGTGGCCCGGCTTTGCGACAGTCGGTGCATTCCAGACACATGTTGTGCCACAAGGGTCCGCCGACCAGATCGCCCACTTGGAACCCTTCTCCCCACTTTGCGGCGTCCGGTCCAAGTTCTTCCACCACCGCGACAGCTTCGTG